CCCTCGTCGCGCGGATACGCCACTGATCCCTTGCCGTTGCCGGATCACCTCGACGCCGCCGCCCGAGGACATCGCCGGAGGCCACGACGTCGGACCTCCCCGCCGGCCTGCCTCCACTCCGCCCGCGCATCGTCCCCGTCCTCCTCCCCAAAGCCACCTCGAGCCTCGCCGCCCCCCTGGTCTCTACATCACCGATGAGGGCCTCGCCCTCCCCCATCTCTCCCTCTGTCCCGTACAGTTTTGCCGCGGTCCCCTCCACTGCCGCTCGCTGTCCCGCTGTTTGCCGGCGCCGCAGCGCACCTCGCGCCACCGACCCGCCGATGCGTCGCCGCCCCCCGCACTGGCCCCCCTGCCTCCTGCCGCTGACCATGGCTCGGTCGCACCCGCGCCGGCCGGCTGCACCGGCCGCGCCGAGCAGACCCCGCTCCGGCCTCACCTTGCTACCAGGCGGGCTGCAGCTTCGCCCGCACCCGCATGCCCGCACGTCCCGACCACCGAGGCCCCCTGCCCGCCATCGCTCCGGCCACCGCTGCCCTGGCGCCCGCTCGCCGCCGGTCGGTTTTGCCCGCCCCTAGGCGTGCGCCCGTTCGGGCTATGCCCGCAACCAGTGCCCAAAACCGCTAGGCCTCTGGGCCATTGACATGTTGGGCCGAGCCCCTGGAATGTTATTTAAAAAAGGATTTTAAAAAATATATATTAAAAATAAATATATAATAAAAATAATTATTAATTAATTAATTTAGTAATTAATTAACTTAATTAATTCTTTTTAGTTTAACCTAAATACTAGTTAACCTAATTAACATAGTTAGTTAGTTAACAGTCAATGACAGTGGGACCCACACTTAAGTTTGACTAAGTCAACAGGACTGTTGACTGCTGACTGTGCAGTTGACCCAGTCAACGGACCCCATCTGTCAGGTTGACCAGTCAACAGTCAAACTTTGACTGCTGACTGGGCTGTTGAGTCAGCCCCCTGTCCCCACCAGTCAGCCCCATGTGTACACCTCTGGGTACACTTATGTGTATCCATAGCATTTAACCTCTAATTTTTGAATTAAAATAATTAAATAAATCCTAAAATGATTTAAAATCTTTTAAAATTAATAGAAAATAAACCGTAGCTCGGATGGAAAAACTTTGTACATGAAAGTTGCTCAGAACGACGAGACGAACCCGGATACACAGCCCATTCATCCGCCACGCACCCCTAACATATCAAACTCGTAACTTTCCCCCTCCGGCTCCCCTGCCCGAAAACACGAAACACCGGGAATACTTTCCCGGATGTTTCCCCCTTCACTAGTATCACTTACTACCGCGTCACGTCACCTCTAGCACCACGCATTGCCATGTTATACTTTGATTGCTCTGTTGTTTATTGTGTTCCCCCTCCGTTACTTCTTTCCGGTAGACCCCGTGACGATGCTGATGCCCCTGTGGTCGACTACGTCACCGACGACCCCTCCTTCTTGTCTGAGCAACCAGGCAAGCCCCCCTTTGATCACCAGATATCGCCTACTCTTCTCTATACTGCTTGCATTAGAGTAGCGTAGCATGTTACTGCTTTCCGTTATTCCTATCCCGATGCATAGCCTGTCCTTGCTACTACTGTTGTTACCATTACCTGCTATCCTACTGCTTAGTATAGGATGCTAGTGTTCCATCAGTGGCCCTACACTCTTGTCCGTCTGCCATGCTATACTACCGGGCCGTGATCACTTCGGGAGGTGATCACGGGCATATACTAAATACTTTACACAGTTACATTACTTATGATACTATTCGGAGATGGGGGCTGAAGGGGCAGGTGACTCCATCCCGGTAGAGGTGGGCCTGGGTTCCCGACGGCCCCCGACTGTTACTTTGTGGCGGAGCGACAGGGGCAGGTTGAGACCACCTAGGAGAGAGGTGGGCCTGGCCCTGGTCGGCGTTCGCAGATACTTAACACGTTTAACGAGATCTTGGTATTTGATCCGAGTCTTGCTACTGGCCTATACGCACTAACCATCTACACGGGGACAGTTATGCGCACTCGACGTCGTGGTATCAGCCGAAGCCTTCGTGACGTCAGCGACTGAGCGGCGCGCGCCGGATTGGACTGGAACGCCTGCTAGGCAAGGTCTGCTTTCGGCCGCCCTCGCAACGTGCAGGTGTGCAATGGGTGATGGGCCCAGACCCCTGCGCCATAGGATTTAGACCGGCGTGCTGACCTCTCTGTTGTGCCTACGTAGGGCTGCGACGTGTTGATCTTCCGAGGCCGGGCATGACCCAGGAAAGTGTGTCCGGCCAAATGTGATCCAGCGTGTTGGGTTATGTGGTGCACCCCTGCAGGGAAGTTAATCTATTCGAATAGCCGTGATCTTCGGTAATAGGATGACTTGGAGTTGTACCTTGACCTTATGACAACTAGAACCAGATACTTAATAAAACACACCCTTCCAAGTGCCAGATACAACCGGTGATCGCTCTCTCACAGGGCGACGAGGGGAGGATCATCGGTTAGGATTATGCTATGCGATGCTACTTGGAGGTCTTCAGTCTACTCTCTTCTGCATGCTGCAAGACGGAGGCTGCCAGAAGCGTAGTCTTCGAAAGGATTAGCTATCCCCCTCTTATTCTGGCTTTCTGCAGTTCAGTCCATCGATATGGTCCTTTACACATTTACCCATGCATATGTAGTGTAGCTCCTTGCTTGCGACTACTTTGGATGAGTACTCACGGTTGCTTTCTCCCTCTTTTCCCCCTATCCCTTCTACCTGGTTGTCGCAACCAGATGTTGGAGCCCAGGATCCAGACGCCACCGTCGACGACGACTCCTACTACATCGGAGGTGCCTACTACTACGTGCTGCCCGCTGACGACGACCAGGAGTAGTTAGGAGGATCCCAGGCAGGAGGCCTGCGCCTCTTTCGATCTGTATCCCAGTTTGTGCTAGTCTTCTTAAGACAAACTTGTTTAACTTATGTCTGTACTCAGATATTGTTGCTTTCGCTGACTCGTCTATGATCGAGCTCTTATATTCGAGCCCTCGAGGCCCCTGGCTTGTAATATGATGCTTGTAAGACTTATTTTATTTGTAGAGTTGTGTTGTGATATCTACCCGTGAGTCCTTGGTTTTGATCGTACACATTTGCGTGCATGATTAGCGTACGGTCAAATCCGGGGCGTCACATTGCTCCAGAGAGATTTTCCTTTCTTTTGTGTTCTTATTCTTTTTTGAGTAAAATGCACTGGCGGTACTTGAACTTGCGAAGAAAGCACGGTTTGATCATCATACTTAAAAATGCATCTAATATGGTCACTCAATACGAGACGACGTGAGTGTACGGTCACTGTTCACCGTACACCACTCGTCGCCACTTCATTTGACCACATGCTGACCACTTGAAGGCGCCAGCTGGCCTTTGCGGGCGGTGGCGCGGCACTTTTGCAGGAAAAACCCTCGTTTGGTCGACGGTGGCACGACACTTTTGCAGGAAAACCCCTGCTTTGGTCAGGAATCCATCACATCTCCCTGGCTGTTCGGCTTCAATCATAACGAAAGGAAAGGAGAGAGGCGTCAGAGGAAGGCGATCGTCGGCTGCATCACATCGCACTGCACCATCATCGGCGAGGGCAAGGGCGAGAGTCGCCGTGGAGACGCGGCTCATCTCGTGGCTGAAGCTGCGCCATAGGGATGTCGCCCGTGCGACGACATCACCCATGCTTGCTCTAGAATCCATGATTGCTCCTTTCCATTTGCAACCCATTCTTCGTTCCTTCCATGCATTCTACCTGCACCTGTAGATCACTCTGACTTGCTCTTCCATTTGCTGCTCGATTCAGCTCTTCCCTCCTATCCTCTGCAGCACCTAGTGCATCCACTGCCTTATTGCCTTCGAGGTAGCGATTTTGAACAAGATAAGCAACATATTCGAGCTCCCAATACCGGAACTCACAAGTGACCTAAGCAGAAAAAGACCCAGATCGTGAACAAAATGTCAAACCAATCACACCACGACCAAAACTAATCACATCACACTACTTACCTCGATTATTAACACACTTGTAGAAGACCCACCCTTCATGTCTCTCCGTGTTCGGCAGGTAGAACTTGACGCGCGTGCGGCACTAAGGACACTTGATGCACGACACGACCACAGGATGGCCGCCCATCTCCGACCCGATGGAGCTTGTCGACATAGCGGAGCGGGATCGAACGCGACGGCGGCGTGGAGGGGAGGGGAGCGCGACAGCGGCGTCGAGGGGAGGCGAGCGGGTGGCGACCTAGGGATTTAGGGATTTGAGAGAGGGCGAGGGGATTTGAGAGAGGGGCTGGTCATTTTACAAGGACCCCAAAGTGCTGTAGAACCCCCCGCGAACGCTACCTGTCGCTTCAGATTGGTCAACAAGTGGTCAAATGAAGCGGCGACGAGTGGCGTACGGTGAACAGTGACCGGACAATCACATCTAGTCGTATTGAGTGACCTTATATTGGCCGTATTTTTAAGTATAGTGACCAAAGCGTGCTTTCTTCGCAAGTTCAAGTACCGCCAGTGCATTTTACTCATTTTTTTTCTTTCGAGTAGAAAAAGAAAAGGCAAAGCAACGAGACCCCTAGATTTTCTCGAGCCCTCCCTCACCACCGCGCGGTGCGCGGATCCCCAACGCTCACGATAACGGCCCCACGCGACCATCATTCCCTGCACCCCACTCTCTCCGCAATCTCAATCCTCCACTCCACTCTGCCGCTCCACTCTCGCTCGCTTCCCAACCCGCCGGCGGCAATGGCGTCCCTCCGCGCCTCCCTCCTGCTCGCTGCCGTGATGTGCGCGCTCGCGGCGTCGTCCGCCTCCGCCTCCCGCGACCTCCGCTCGCGCCCCACCCAGTTCGTCGTGCGCGGCCGCGTCTGGTGCGACACCTGCCGCGCCGGATTCGAGACCCCGGCCTCCACCTTCATCGCTGGTACGTGCTTACGCCGCACCCGCCTCTTTCCTCCTCTCTCGATCCGTTACGGTTGTACCAGTATCGATTTCGCGGGAGCGCGTCTCTCCCTCGGCCTCTCCCCGTCGTTTCACCGTTCCTTTTCCTTCCTCCAAAGGCGTTAGTTGATTCGAAAAAAAAGGCGTTAGTTTATCCAGGAATGTTGCCTGATAGGACCAAGTAACAAGTATGCGTCCAGACGGTGAAAAAATAGGTTGCTTTCTCTTCGTTTTCCCCTGCGATCTGATTTCGTAGCGGAAGTAGCTAGTGGTTGGTTCACGCTGGATGCATGGTTTTTGGAATCCTCAGCACTAATTTGCGTTTCTGTGGGAACTTTTGTTAGATCTTCATGATCACTTTGTGCACAAGTTAAACTAGCATTGTCTACGAGTAGTAGTTTGCAGGATCTCATTTGTTATGTTTGCAGTTTGTGGTGAAGATATGAACTGACCGATGTGTTTTTACAGTTTACGGTTGGATAGATGCGAACGTTCATGCGCCATGCCCGTGAAATTATTACAGGCTCTGTACCGCGCCGGGGTGAAATGTAGTAAGATGCTGGTATGCTGAGTTGCAGACTGAGTTCATATCATGTGCTAGATCTAATATCATACGATCTCTGGCCATGGTTGATGGTTTCATTTATCGCATAGTTCATACTCGGAACGGTATAATCAGACATTGTTGGATACTGGTGTCTGGACCTCATCCTACTGCTCTCTGTAAAATAACGATACAGAACACAAACCTCTGTCTGAACCGAATATAGTCGATTTACAGATGGGTTCGTTGGTATTTGATATCTGAAGTAAGTTGGCATTTTTCAGACAAATGATAAAGTGGATGCCCACAATGCACACACAACATGCTGGTGTGCGCAGGCATGTTCCCTGCACACTCTAGTAAAAAAAATATAGGCTCAGTATCCAGAAGAACCAAAACCACACATTCATCTGAACAGCAGAGAGATTGTATCATTAATGAGCACAAATGTATATGAATTCTCCAGTTTTTCACTGAGAAAAAGGTTATTCTTGACACCAGATAGTATAAGGTGATGTACAGATAAGTATTCAGACTTCAATCTTTATAAAGACTAGACTGAACCTGCTATGAAATGAGAACGCTCGAACTTAACATGATTTGGTTATTTAGCTAGTCTGCAGGTGGCAACGACCAATTTAATTTTGGTTCAAGTTGGATTTTTAGACAGATAGCTAGTGTTAATTATGTTTTGCTTTATGTACAAAACCCTTTGTGAATTGGATTGATTACAAATACAGCTCACCTATCATTACCCACTATTAATTGTACATTCAAGAACATCCTGTGAACATACCTACTGTTTTCAAGGGAACCTGTACAGGCACCTTCCTATGTGAAATTGTCAATAGAATTATAACTTTTGTAGTACTGTTCTTGTATGCATTGATTATCTTTGTACAAAGTTTGTTGTTTTGTGATTTTGTGCAAATGGATTCTTTGCTTGATAAAATTGCTAGTGGTCGAATCACAATATATCTTATGTGTTTGGCTACTAAGTATCTTTGTGCTGACAGGCTACATGACTTAACCGGTTTTTCCTAAAAAAACAGAAGACTTCACCGGTTTATCTGGTTGTACTTCTATTGTGAGATACATGCAATTTGATTTTTTCGGCATTTGCAATAGAACATATTAGAAAAACAAGCATACTAGTATGCCATGTAATTTATCTTAGCACTACACTGACCTTCATTTTGTGCATCTTTCCTGAACCTTTCCCATCCATTTTAAATTTTTCGTTAGCAAACAAAACAGTGTAAGAAATGGAACACAACAGTCTAGAAAACTGCAGTTACTTATAAGGCATGCCAAAATGCAAAACAGTCTGGAATGAACCGGCATGCATGTCACAGCGAAAGAAATATGTTCACAATTCAAGTTAAGCCTCAGTTACTCCCTCCGTTGCAAAATACTTGAAGTTCTAGGTTTGTCCTAAGTCAAACTTCTTAATGTTTGATCAAGTTTATAGAAAAATGTACCAACATCTACAGCACCAAATTAGCTTCATTATCATAATATATTTTCATATTGTATATGTTTGAGTTTGTAGATATTAGCAAAAAAAAATTTATAAGGTTCGAAAATGTTTGACTTAGGACAAACCTATAACTTCAAGTATTTTGGAATGGAGGGAGTATCATATAGTATCCAGATTTTGGACGAGTACCCTGTTGTTATGGATCAATAATTCAAGATACTACTTGCAAATAGGTCCTTGTAACTGTAATGTTGCAACTATTATTGCACATGGATTATGTGATGCAGCAGCATTAGGCTTCATCGCAGCAGCTAAGTAACTTAGTTAGGAAATGAGTATGGCTTTCCCACATGTACCCACACTACTACTATCATCACATTGCCTAGAGATCTATTCAAATGGTAAAAATTTAAACCACCAGTCCATCTTGTAATCTTTTATAATGTTCTTGCACAATCTCGGGTGAAATTTGGAGGCCTACCTAAATAAGAACAAATCATTATGCATGTTTGTTCATAACACGGGGCAATTCAGGCAATAAACCATGCTTAGGTTTGTAGATAGTGGAAACATTTTGTCTGTCGAAAGCTGGGCCAGATCAAATGCCCTGCTCGATTATCTGAACATTGCTTAAATAACCATCCATTAGTAGCAGCTGTACATGTTGTGCAAATAGCGCAGAACTGCATATGAGCATGGCTATTTGTCACACTGAGGAGGCGAGGGCTAGAAATCAGCATTGCTGATAGAACACAGCGTTGAGGGTTCAATGCATCTCGAGAACACAAGACAAAGTTGTTTTATGACTTCTATAGTTACCTTGGTTGGTTCTTCATTTTGGATCTTTATGGTTAACTGGCTTGGTAATAATCATTCGTAAAATGCTACTCCCTCTGTCCCAAAATATAAGGACGTTTTTAACACTACTAGTGTCAAAAACGTTCTTATATTATGGGACGGAGGGAGTAGGAGCTAGAGCTGAGAGTTGAATCGCCATTAGTTTGTGGTTGTGACAATACATGGTAATATGAATATAGGGCCGAATGTTTGAGAAGCTAACATTGATTGGTTATCGAATACCTCATTCGAATAAAATCTCATCTATCAAAATTACCAACTACTAGTTGCTATTCATGAGAATTTATTGTTTTTGTTTGCCAACTGACACTAATATGCCATCCTTGCTTTCAACAGGAGCGAAGGTTAGAGTTGAGTGCAAGTCGAGATCTACCGGGGCCCAGACATGCAGCTTCGAGGGTCACACCGACCACACCGGTACCTACAACATCCCCGTGGCCGACGAGCACGAGCACGAGCTCTGCGAGTCTGTCCTCGTCAGCAGCCCGGACACGGCATGTGCCAAGGCAGTCGCTGGGCGGGAGAGGGCCCCTGTCTTCCTCAACAACAACAACGGTGTCGCGTCCAACGTTCGGTTGGCGAATGCTCTGGGGTTCGAGAAGGACACCCCTCTGGCTGCATGCGCGCAGATCCTCAAGATGTACGAGGAGGTCGACGATCGCGTCTGAGCACTCCGAACTCGCTATCACGAAACAGGTTAACGTATTACTAAAGCCGTCATGTGAAATGTCCTGAAACGTCTATCTATATGTGTTACCAAGACCAGAAGTATCGCGGCTTGTGTGCTTGACATTATGGCGTAGCGCTTGGGTGTGTATGTTGATCGCTGGTTCAGGTTGAACCACGGAACTTGTGAGCTAGTAAATCAGACATGTTGGTTCATCTTAGCAGGCTAATGTTATGAGATTGTTGTTTGTTTAAGAGTGCCTACTGTGTACCGTTTTCTCAAGCGGCAAAGCACGCTGATGTGCGTACTGTGTGCAGTTCTGTCTTGAAATGGGACAAGGTCGAGGAAGGAAGTTCTTTGCCGGCTGAAAGACAAATATGGTTCTTCTCAACTGAAATGATTGGAGACTTAGGAAAGTGCATTCAGTTTTGAATGGAGATTCCCAAGACGATCAACACTTTGAGCGTCTACAACCGGATTCCTCAAGACTGGACGGACGCAGGATCATTGACGGGACATAAGAGAGAAGAAAAAGTTGAATCGAACCCCACAAAGCCGGACATAAGAGAGAAGAAAAAGTTGAATCGAACCCCACAAAGCCTCCCTAAACGTCCAGGCTGCCGGTACTCCTCGTACCCAGCCTATATATGGGGGCAATATGAGCTCCTCGTACCCAGCCTATATATGAGGGCAATATGAGGAGTGCCCGGGCATGTTTGGCAGTGGTCCTGTGTTCGTAACATAGGATTTGGCCCACCACGGACCATCTTTATCCTTTTTTTTTCTTTCTCTCTTCATCTCTACCGGTCACATGCATGCGCCTGCACGTATAGGGGAAAAAGTGGGTCAAATGCCCGCGTACATGGACAAACAGGGACCCAAAACTGACACGCCCGAACACTGACCGGGTACGTCTGCGGATGTTTGAGAGGTCAAATTTGCCCACTCCGGCTGTAGATGCTCCTTAGGCTTTGTTTTGTTGCAAGGGATCCTCCTCCTTTCCCTGGGTGGGAAAACCACGAGCTGAATCGCCCATGGAGAGCTTACGGCGGCATTTAGGATGCGTTTGGTTGAAGGTTTTGGACCGCCCAATTTTTTTGGGATGGAACCATTCAATTCATGTGTTGGCTATATATAAGAGATGAGCCAATTATTTGAGAAGGGACTATTAGTCATGCTCACATGATCATGCATGCAATGGGTGGCCATATGATTCGACCGATTTCTTGGGGTGCAATGGTTCAGTATCTTTAGAGAATATTCTTTTTTTTGAGTGGAACCATTCAAGTGCTTTATAATCAAGCATGTCTATTTTTTTGAACGATCCCAACCCATCCCTGGCCACCCTTGCAACTAAACGCACCCTCGCAATGGGGATGGATTCAGTCCCTTTCCTTGGGCCTACCCTGGGTTAGATTCCGCACCTGAAGTGCCAAATGGTGTCGAGGATCTCCCTTGGAATGCCCATGGATTCTAGTGTTTCAAGGAAAATCACAACTGTGCCTTTTAATCCTGGAATCTCTTCCCAGCAACCAAACATAGTCTTATGTATATCAAAGAGTTTAACAAGAATCACTTGATTTTATTAAGTTCCATTTTCCATAAAAGGTCCAAATATTTTGTTCAGGCCAAAGGAACATGTAAGGGCATCTCCAAAGCTAACCTGCAATTGTCTTTGATATATGTCCGCTTTTATGTCCGGAAGTGGTCTGCGGACATGATGCGGGAGGGAGTCATCCAATGATAATCACAAAGTATCTGGTCGGGAGGAGAATAAGTAGATGGGGACCATGCATGTGGTGGGATATTTGTGGTTTAATGTCCGGTTGGGAGGAGAGAGAGGATAGATGGATCATGCATGCACGGTTGGGAGGTGAGGGAGAGAAAGAGAGAGAGAGAGAGAAAAGAGGGACCATGCTGTCATTAGTTTAGTTCACGTCCGGACTCCGGCGAAGCCCCCACGTTTGTTTCTTTAATATCGGAATCCGTACGCCCGGATTGCTAAGCGGACATTTACAAATCCTGTTGGATGGCAAAAGTGGTCTGGATACTGTACTCCAGACATATAGTGGAGGTTTAAGGTCCGATTTGGAGATGCCCTAAGGGCCTCTTTGTTTTACATGACTTTTTAAAACGTATTTGAGGGAAAACATAAGATTGGAGTGGCAATGCCATGTTGAAAAGCATTTGGCTCATTAGCTAAGTTGACTGTCATCAACCTATGTACAAGATGAAGCCAAGCATGTCTTATCTCTGATAAGAGTGCGCCTAAATTGGATATTCAAGTGAACAATCCCTAATATTGTGTCGATGAACGGCTCTTTTCGTTGCAGATACTATAAGGCTAGCGGCGCGTCCCCTAGCTAACTATCCTCCCAAGAACGACATGGTACCACCATATCCCACCTTAAAAGCACCTCCATTAAAGAACACAACTTGTAACTTTAGTCCGCATCAATCCCTTTTAGAAGGTAGAGTCATACGGTCATTCCATGACTTGGATGACAAAGTCAGCAATAGAGTCTTGGAATGAAGATATTTGTTACTCATTAACCGAATCCATACCCTATCTTCCTCTGAAGCAAGTTTGTACAAAGTATGTAGGTAGGTACCTTTTTCGTTCTTGAAAAGAACAATGACTCTAAAAGCTACACCATGTTGGAATGGTAGCCAGTTCAACAGATTTAAAGCTCGAGTTAACGGCATCGAGGCAGTGAAGTTAAACTACAAGGCAATACTCCAATCGTTTCAGTTGAGAAGAACCATATTTGCTCTTCACTCCACAAACACATGACCTAACAAATCTTTTATTCCAACAACTGATGAAACTTTGGAGGGAGTTAGAAGCTCATCCTCTCAGCACATGGAGCGCGTCATCTTCCAAAAGGTTATTGCGTAAGTGATCTAGGGAACCGTAACCGCCGTGTCCTCCATCATCCACTGCTCTAGCCCAGGCAGGAGCATCATCCATCTCCTTTGAAACTCTCATATGGTGTCCAAAGGGAAAGGAGCCCTTAACTTGCACAACATATGCTGGATTAACCTGTCCACCATCACACATTCTTCTCCCTTGAAGACCAGCCTCCATGATTGAAGGTTTTTCAAAACCACAGCCAGACCTGTTTCATGTTCAACCAGGAACATCGTTTAAACACTAGGTCATTTCTCAACAACCACAACCCCCACAGGATTGTAGAGGATACTATGTTCAGTTGTTATACTTTTTGTTAAAAATCCATTTTAACACAAACGGAATGAAATCATGAATATGCACCTAAAAACTAACCTGGACCTCAGCCCATTGATGCTTTGTCAGGATGATCTCAAAATATAAGTGAAACACCGATTCTATTTCTTTGCAATTCTCACATTCTAAAGGTTTGGGTATCCTTCTTTTTATCAAATTATCTATGACCAATATCTTATTCTGAGATAGCAACCACATGAAAAATTGTATTTTGGGAGGAACTTTTAAAGACCAGACAGAAGGCAAATAAACAGGCTTAACACCTCTCAAGTTATAATAACATACAAGGATCTAAAAGAGTAAACAAGCCATAACAAAGTGCCCTCCTCTTCCACTAAAGTAATAGTGGACCAAAGCCTCTAGCTTAGTTTCCTAAAATCCTTCACTCTTATTGGCTCGCAATTTTGGCTTCTTCATGTTAGAGCAGGTTTGTTCGCTTGGCAGCCCACCATCCATGATACAACTGAAAGAACATGCGGTGCCCCCATGTTAGGTTTTGGTAATTGATGACATTCTCTATGTACTAATGGTTGCCTTGAGTTATATTTGAAGTATTTGTCCATGGGCATTTCTTGAAGTCCATGTGTTGGTTTCAAGGAGTTTATGAGTTGATCAAGGTGCTATTCAAGGAATTATCCAAATTTTGGTTAGAGAGAAGACATGAAACAAGGTTTATCAAGAGTGGTCAAAGAGTGAATCAAGTTGATCAACACACAAAGCGTACAAGATGTACCGAGAGGGATCCCATGGTATGGTAAGCATTGCCCATTACGCTTTGTGTACTACCCCATGGTCTACGTGAGAGTTCTATGTGGGATTAGGTATGTTTCCATGGGCTTGCGTCAAGAGGAAGATCTCATACAACCCCTGGAGGATGACATCAAGTGGTGTTCGTCATCAAGATTGCGGTGTGCAAGTTCAAGTGGAGCATCATGAAGAGTTCATGCTTGAAGCTTGCCCCATTGTAGTGACAATGGACTTATGAAGATGTTCTGAAGAGTGGCTCAGCCATAGTGGAGTATGGGGGAGAAATCTACTAGTCTTCATCGAGCCAACACAATCAAGAAAAGTGGTCCAACTTGAGGGAGTCAAGGTGGTCATCATCTAGCTCAAGTGGACTATGTGCAAGGCAAAGGTTTTCCCTTGATAGGTTTTTTATTTTTATCGGTCTCATGATGGTAGTTGGGAGACCGGGTTATAGGATCGATTGCCGTACTATCAAGGGGGGCTCTCAATGAGTAGCTTGATCATATCGTTCATAGAGAGCTCAAACCATCGCATCCTTGCATCATCTTTCTTGGTTCTTGTTTGTTGTTTCTCTTTGTGAGTCTTAGAACTTATGGTCACCTTGATGACAAGCTCGAGTTCATCAAAAACGGAGTTCATGTGTATCTTCTATGATGTTTTCGATGTTGGAGTTTTTGCCAGTTCTTCATTCATAGAGGTTTCACATCTATATACCTTTGACTTTTTTCTATTGCCTCTTTTTTCCTATTGGATGCTACTCGTCGTCATCTATCAAACAAGCTTGAGTTTGCTCAATTCGGAGCTCATTTTTAGAAGTTTTGGCAGTTCAGGCTTTATTGTAGCTTCTGGTTTCTTTGTTGTGTTCCTGAAGGCCTCAAGCGACAGTACTGGTCTCTCGAGCAGTAGTACCGCTTGTAAGCGGTAGTACCGCAGCCCTGTGCCGCGCATAGTACCACTGCTTCTGGGGATGTGATTTTTCGTGTCGGGTTGCGCGGTAGTGGAACGGT